AGGCAGAATACGTCATGACTTGGACTCAGTGGGAGTAGTATTTCGTAGATCATCGCTTCGCTTCTCGATCGACCCACATGGACCTCAGGTGAGTAGCTGCAGTGCGGAGGCCTGGCTGGTGTCACTCACTGCTGACGACCATGGTGGACCACTACCGTCTTTGAGTGCGTCGACTTTGGCCGCGACCAACACTATAGGGGAGGGGAAGACCAGTGGGTTGCTGGACAGGCTTCGACAGTGGGGAGCCGTGGGAGAGGTACTCGGATAGAACCGGACCTGTCCTCATTGATGTTGGGGTGTAGTTCCTCGCCAATGACCTGCTAGCCCCGTGGAGCACTCTGGATCAGCTCTCTGCAGACTACGCTGTGACTTCATGGTTTTTGAAGGCACCCCGGGTAAGTCTTGGAGGCCCTTGAGACGTCGACTGTTATTGCTGCATAGATATCTCTGGAAGCTGCTAGTCCCCAATGGCACTGTTCATCGCATCCTTCGGCCCCTTACAACGTCTTGGTATCCCCCAAGGGCGAGGTTACCCTCATCGATCGGCTTCATCGTAAAGTCTTCAATTTGGCTTTGCCTAAGAAGACCCCTCGGGTCACAGGTATGGCCAGCCGACTCTGATCACTGTCAGTGCTTGCTCGTCCCTTCAGGAAGCTGCGTCGCCTTTGCTCCCTCACCGTGTCCTCTATCTATAGCCCTGGGTACTGTGTCTGGCCTCGTTATAACGTCCCTGTCGGGCGTGCATGAGGATTGGCAGATCATAGCTAATCGCAGTCTCCCTGTGGCCCCCTCTGTCATCGAGTACTCCCCTAGAGATGGATCCTTACTGGCAGTGGCGTATTCGAATGTGGTAGTAGTGTGGGAGTCGGCCACGGTGGGACTGTCCTCGGCGACCCCACTGGTACTGAGACGCCTAACGACGGCGGACGTCACGTCAGTGGCCTGGTGCTCAGCAAGGTCCTGCTCTATCTGTGGGCGGTGCGGTATGCAAACGGCGAGGTTCGAACC